CTCAATTGTAAAGGTGAATACAATGTTCTATTTATAGACTAAATTCTAACAAACCATCTAACAAACTAACAACATAACAAACTAAAGAAGAAACTAGAAGAATTTGGAATAAGGAAGAAGAGACTGGAAGGTAAAGCTGATAAGCTGGAGAGAAGCTGTTGAACGTGATTATGATGCAACTTGCTTACATTCCAACATTGTTTTTGGTTGATTAGTCCAAGGTCATCAACTACTTCTTCTGAGATCACGTTCATTCCACTCCCATTATCTATGATTACATTAAGGCCATTTCCTTTACATTCCATTCAAGTGTGAAATATGTTTGTTCTCGGCCACTCCTCTGAATCTTCCAACTTCTGACCAGTCAAAACTCTTCGAATTACACAGCTAGGTAGTTCAGAAGCTTCCAAATGATCCTCCTTATGCTCTTCTCCAACATCTTTTTCGTCAAGCTTTTTTGTCAAGCAATAACACTTCCAATTAGAAGTCTGGTAATGCTTGGCTGCAAATTAGAGTTGGTTTCCCTCCTTGCTCATTTGAGGGGCAAATCACAGTGTAATACCCACACCCTTTGCATTTGTAGCATTGAGATCCTGCTCTTTCCATGTTTTTCTTCCCATTTCCATCTCTACTTCCTTGCACGCTGGATCCGTATGCATGAACAAGTGCAGGTTTTGGAAGTCGTGTCTCTTTGGTGCTTGACATTCGAAAAATAACTTATCCACCTTGTGCCTTAATCCTTAATGACACCTGATACATTTCCTCAATGCTCATCAATCTTTGCTTCATTAGTTCTCTTTGAATATCGGATCGCAACCCAGACCGATACCTTGCAATGGCTTGATGGTCACTCTCCACCACCTGACTCCTCACTATAAGCTCATAGAACTTATCAGTGTTCTGGTTAACTGACATTAGACCTTGCTTCAATAGAATGAGCTCTTCATAAGTAACCTGCTTGTTCATCGAAAATATGTTTCAAATAAAAACTATCGCAAGTGTACGGATCATTCAAGTA